ATATCGTTATGCAATTCGACATCACTTATTCAAATTCGTCGCTAATTACATTAATTTGGTCCGTGTCCTTCAACTTACTTTTTTGGTCTTTAGGATTTGCTTATTTCTCATTTACAACTTTGGACATTGACTTATGTTATGACCTAACTATGTATACTGTCGGATACGTACAATTCACACAAAAGATTGTGTGTCATCGCCCTAATCCCATCTATTTGTTATGAGACTTAAAACTGTCGGCACTATGACACCTTTTAAATTAAATGGCATGCCGTCTAGCCGGGGGGTGATGAAAATTCCGTCTGCTCGAATCGTTTATTATTATAAACGATGGACGCCGCCAACTGGAGCTGGATCTAGATTGAAGTATTTGTTAATGGTATTCGATTATTGCAATGACATTTTTTTTTTCCTCTTTATGACCACGACGGGGCAATGACATTTTAAAAGACATTATGATGCTGAAATAGTAGACGTGTCATGGAGTCATTTACAGTAACGCTTATTTGACGTTTTAATAGTTCGTGACTCCCTGAGTAGCCAAAAAGTTCGCAACACGTCTTTGTTACAAATATAATAAGATTGTGCTATCAACTTTTTGGTCTCTTAGGCCCAGAACACACAGTGAAACGCAATTGCAACGAAAATGCAACTTCTTGTTACTTTTGAGTTGCATCTAAGTTTCTGCCATAGATTCGGTTGAGAGACCTCACATGACGCGACGCGACGCACGAGTTTCAAACCGGTTTCAAACTGGTCGCAGAAGTTGCAGTTTCGTTGCAATTGCGTTTCACCGTGTGTTCTGGGACTTTGGGTGTCACAAACTTTTTGACGCTGATTGTAATAAACACGTGATTTACCTGTCATTCTGTCATCATGATATAATATTTATTCTATTAACACTTCATCTTATGACAGATTTCACGATTTAAATGGATAGTGATGCTTAAAGTTCCAATAGATGGGTACCTTACCCTTACACTCGTATTCGTTTTCCCATAAGTTGAATTATTATTATTTTCACTTCTCGTGGGAAACACCGCAGGCTCTATCTGTCATTTTGTTTTACTCAACTCTATGACCATTACTGTTTCTTAAAATTATTAATATCTGATTTAGATAGTAGAAAAGATATATTAAAATACTGATGTTTAATTCATAATATTCAGAATCAGAATCAGAATCAGAATCAGAATCATCATTTATTTGCTATAAAATAATGTCACATCTGTAAAGTTTTTGCATGAATAAATAATTCATGTCTTAGAAATTATTTATAATTTCATTAAGGTTATCTATATCTAAGCTTTGTTTTAAATTAATATTAATGATAGTTACTTGAACTTTTGTCATTTGAACAAAATAAATGTTTTCTCATTCATTTCTTCGGTCATTTCAAGGAAGAAAATATGAGCATATAAAATCCTTGATATCCTCTATAAAATAGCGATTTAACAGCAAAGTTATCACCGCCTCAGAAAGTTTATTACCCTTGTTTCCATTAACTCGCTAAGTTATCGCGTGTATGTCCTAGTAATTGCTTAATATATTCCCGTCTTGTCTAGTGTAACAAACATTATCTGGGGCCGTATGGTAATTGATAATTTAATATGAGTTGCCTTTGATGCCTCGTGCGTGCCCTTTTCGTCAGTTTCCCGACACTCTTTTGTACAAAGAATAGCTTCAGTTTCTTTCAAGTATTAGGCTGGGTTGCACCATCTTACTTTAACTTCGACAAACGTCAAAAATCTGTCAAACTCCACACAAAAAGCACCGGTTATCGTCATAGTTACCGTTGAATTTAGATAGTGCAATTCAGCCATAGTGTACCTTTTACTTACTAAATCTTAGGTACCTATAATCCAAAAGAATAAGCGATAAACTTAGGTTTATCGATTTAGCCTGACTTTCTAGATCTACCCGTACAGTCAGCGCCAAATAGTTTGTGACATCCAAAGTAACCAATAAGTTCGCAACACGTCTTTGTTACATTTGGAACAAGGTTGTGTTATCAACTTTTTGACCACTTTGGGTATCACTATTTGACGCTGACTGTAGGGTTAGGTTGTGTGTAGTCTTTCAGTCGGTCACACAATAATAATATGCAAAGGTTTAAAAGATTAAATATTGTACTCGTAGTAGAGAAAGTCGTTTCCGTCGGCCAGTCTTTTAACTCAGGATCATACGTGCAATTTATTTACTACTTCATAGGAAGTTCTATAACCATTCATGAAATTGCTAGCACCAATCAAGTTTCCATTTAAATAAATTATACATAATTAGTGCTTATATAATGGGCATACATAAAATTATTACCTATTTTATGGCTTGTAACTTGTCGTTCAGAAGTTATTGCCTTGCTTCTGGCGGTGTCTAGCCGTAGGCAGAATATGAAGCAAATAACGCCGACTCATCACATCTTGTTAGTTGATCTTTGCCTAAAGGCAAACGTTCTTTTTTCTATATTTTCTCTTGACACGTATGTAAGTAACGTCGTCTCCAATAAACGTGTGTGCAATTCACACAAGCCCGCAACTCGGTACGTGTTATCACATTGGTATTTATCCTTTATTTTTACACATTTTCCTCGCGATACGATGGCACCTAAAATATCTTGGGAATTTCACAGCGTTCTGTTTTTTTCCTTTTACGTGTACAGTTTCAGACCTTTGATGGAATGTGGCGTTATTAAAAGCGAATTTCATCCTTTTATATTTGATATTAAATAATTTTCAACTTTATTAAAGTACTTTATTATTTAGGGCAAGTATTTTTTCCAAAAAAGTCTGAAAGTGATCCATTTCTCTTTCAAAAGATAACCTTTCCAAAACTCAACCTTAATGACATCAAATTCAAACGATGGATGCGAAAAACCCGACACGTTCAAGCAATAACGGCCTAGAATAGTGAGTACGTGAGTTTTAGAAAGCATAAGTGTGCTGTATGTGAGGGGAAGCAAAAAATGAAACGATAATACTCCTTTACGAGATCCCATTAAGCAATGACAACGGCAGGCTTATGTCGGGCCATTACGGGGAATACGAACTGCTTTGACAGTAAGTATTCAAGATACTTGCAAAGGGATTGTATGTTCGTTGAGGATCGGTTACGGGAAAGAGAAAAGTAATTTAAATAATGCTAAAATAAAAAAACTTAAATTGAAATTGGTAAATGAAACAAAGTGTTTGACTTTCATGTGGAAAATTAATTAGGTACTTACAATAATAAACTGTTGCTTGAAACTCTACAAGAATGTGCAGCAAAAACATTAGGCAGGTTCTGAAAATGTATATTTTTTTACATTTTACATCGTTTATTAAAACAAAAACGTCAGTATCCACCGAGTTATAGTTAATTTTGTTATTAAATGAATTATAATAAAAAAAATGAATTTGGATAACTTAGAATTTAAATCAAATAATCAAATTTATTTTTAGCAAAACTTTTCATGTTCATTCCCATTAAAAATAAGAAAGTTAAATGTAATCTTTGCTACAACCCTGCGTATAACCCATACAGTACATTATACAGGTTCGACTGTACCGGCTTATGTTATTTTGATGGAGCCATCATGCTACACCGTCCTGAAATTACGGACCTATCTTCCTGCTGAGTTTGTAATGATGCGCATTTTTCAAGCAGATACGTACAGTCGGCCGCATAAAAATGTACATTCATTAACCGTTATGTTTGAGATTTAAGCTAAAATTCAACTTTTATTTCCGGATGTAAATACAATTAATATCAAGTTCAGGACATTTTAAAATGTGAAATGTTATTACAACACTTTATGCATATTGGTCTGTTGCTAAAATTGCTTATAAGGAACTTCTTATAAAAGTTCAAATCTTATACGAATCTAACTTTTGTGCATTACAATCATAAGAGTATCAACACACAAAAATACCATACCTTTAAGCATTAATGTAGCTGAATTTGGATCGATCCGAGTAAATTCTGTTACAATTAAAATCATTGAAAGTGATTCTCAAACTTATAAATTCGTTTAATTATTGTAATTAGGTATACGGTTGGTGGATTTTTAAATACATAATAATATATGTTATTTCGTTGGTTGTTTATTTATTTATTTAAGGATAGTACACAGCACAATATCAATTTGTATAACAATGTTTTTAGAAAGATTTTGTAGGCCAATTAGGATTATCCAACATTAAACATTTCTACATACCTTCTCTTATCAAGTCCCAAATAAAAATGACCACTCATTCATCCACCTGACTGTACCTCTGAGATAACGACGGCGATATTATCGGGCTAATGAATGGCCCTCCATGACTTTGCATAATAACGTCAGTTACAGAGAGCAGAAATAACAGGAGTGGAACTGACAGGCAATCCCCTCTAGCAATGTAAGTAGACCAGTGGTTCACTCAGTTTATAAAAACTAGTTGCAGCGCCACCAATAACATACAATGACATATTCCAAATGTCACTATTGAAGAGTAACGTGCTGCGATAAAAATGGTGAATTGCAGTGTTTTTAATTGTAAGAAGAGATCTGAAACATCAAATCTTGAAAAGGACAACATTACATTCCATCGGTAAATATTATTTTATTTATTTCACATTAATTAATACACTAAATTTGCAAAAAACTAAATTTCTAGAAGTGTTGCCACTGGAATGACTGGAAAGCAAAAATTCCTAATTGTGTAATATTTTAAGGATAGTGTACTTATAACAATATAATCGAAATTATATGCTAATTATATTAATGTTAAGTATTGCAAGTGTATTGTCGATGATACTGAATAAACATTTTTTCTTTCTTTCAAACAATTTGATACTGCCAATAGGTGTTCTCTTTTATGATATTTGTTAGTATTAATACATTATTAATAATCACTGATATATGTAAATTCATTTATTACTTTTACCTCGACTGTCGGTAATTATTCATAATACCCGGCGATTATTAATAATTTTCATTTTATCACATTTACCCTTACATAATAAACGTGTTAAGTAAGTTCCCGCTATTTTACAGATTTCCAAAAGATCCAACTACTCGCAATATCNCTAAAGAGGGATAGAGCTGTACTTCGAATGCCGATGTTTTCTAATCTGTTCACAAGGGTGGGCACAGCCACTGTGTCGAAGGCCTTCTTCAGGTCCAAGAACACTGCTAGGCATTTGAATCCTCTGTCTACTTGCTTAGTAATAACAGACGTTAAGTCCAGTACAGCGTCTTGAGTTGACATACCCCCTCTAAAGCCATATTGGGCATCAGATAAAATTTTGAATTTATTTAAATAGCATACCAATCTGTTGTTCATCAATTTTTCTATGATTTTGGACATAGCAGTCAGAACAGATATAGGCCTGTAGTTGTTCACTTCAGCCCTGTCCCCACCCTTGTGTACAGGAGTAACAATAGATCTCTTTAGTGCCACAGGAAATATTCCTGTATGGAAGCAAAGGTTTGCCAACGTAGTGATGTGAGGGACTAGGAAGCCTCTGGAGAGCTTCATGAACTTCGTAGAAATACCGTCCCAACCAGGTGCAGAATTCGGATCCAAGCTCATGAGGATACGGTCGACTTCATGCATATCAGTATCCAACAGTACAAAGGAGTGAGAAATTGTGGATTGTGAGTTAGGGAAGCTATTATTATGTATAAGATTAGTGCGCTTAAGGATCGTTTCCGCTAGTTCTTGGCCAATGTTGGTAAAGAAAAAGTTAACACTATCAATAGAAACTTGAGGTGATACAGCTATATCTAGTAATTCAATATTTGTTGATTTAGGAGGTTTAAATTGAGTGATATTATTTATAGTGGACCATAGTTTTTTAGGATGGTTGATTGATATATTAATTTGGTTTTTATTATATTCTCTTTTTAGTTTTTTAATTAGGTTGCTACAGTAATTCCGAAAACGTTTGTAGGTAATTTTTAATATGTCATTGTGTGGATTTGTTTTCAATTTCATCTGCATGTTATTTCTTAGTTTTATGCACCGAATAGCCCCATGTGTAATCCATGGTTTCAGGATCCTGGTTTTATTTCGTGTAGGTATAGTTTTAGAGTTTGTTGATATGGCCGATCTGATTATACCAATAAGCGCGTCTGCAAATAAATCCGGGCTACCATAAATGTTGAGCATTGAAACATCCGCAGTCAACAGGTTTTTATATGCCTTCTCATAATTAATTATTGTTTTATACTTACGAGTTTTTTGTTGTTTATGCACTTGCTCAACGTTTACGGCAACCATGCAATGATCANTTTTTATATGCCTTCTCATAATTAATTATTGTTTTATACTTACGAGTTTTTTGTTGTTTATGCACTAAACCATTTGATAATAAGGAGTGTCACCACTTACATCCAGGCACTCGTAGAAGGTATTCGGTTTTCTTAGTCTGTTAATTAATATTTACCGTTGTTATAATAATTAAAGAGTAATCCGTAGATGCACCGACCAGAACACTTTCTCTAACCATGTACTTCTAACCTAAGCCTAACCCCTGGAAATACTTTTTTTAACCCAAACCTAGCCCATGGACGCAAACGGGTAACACGACCCTGTCGCCTCCAGACGATAATATTCCACAACTCTTTGATCTTATGAACCAAAATTTTATGCAAAATAGATCGAAGCCATATCCGAATCTGTACCAGGAATTACAGCCGCCATTTAAATTTCAAATTTGTCCTTTCAGATTTGCTTATAATGGCGCCCGATTGGTACTTTCAGTGTTTTCAGATCTGATCCTCATTGCCAATATTACTGACTTCAAAAGGATCGCAAATAAATGGTTTAAGGATTGCTGGTAATGTAACTGGGGTTGTATTAACTTTATAAATAAGATGGATACGTATTTTTGATATTAGAGTGTTATTTACGTACTTCTTTTAGTATTAACGAAATGGGAAGAACAGTCACCCATAATGATCAAAGGTATTTTTTTATCCAAAGATATTATAAAAATAATATATATTATTATAATAATAGCTTTTGGTGACTGTTTTTTCTGTTCGAAGGATGATTATTAAAATAATCATGATTCAAAACAACCAGTTTTTGCTCGCGGCTTCGTCCGCTTAAATATCGGTCTGCCACAGAAAGTATATGAAGTTCTTTTTTCAGGAATCTTTCTATCTGTTGATGAAAGTAGCATGAAAATCTGTTCTAGTTAATAGTTATAGTTAATAATTCTTCCAAGCTTAGCACAACTTTCAACGTGTGCCATGGAGCTTATCTTACAAAATGACGCAGGGGTTCTTACGATCCCCTCTCGTACTATTAGTATAGGATCGAAAGAAGATTCTAAGCACGGAAGAATGAGAAGAAGAAAAAAGAAATCACAAAAGAATCAAACCCGGGAACTCTAACTCGAGAATCTTTCTCTCATTACAAAAGCGTTTATCCCTCAAAAAACATTATTACATTTTAAGCATGTTATCAAACTTACAAGGAAATTATAAAACTTTAAGTTTAAAAACTTACATAAAATGTAAAATTTACCGTTCAAAAATTGCTGAAAGAACCGCTGGAAAGCCGTAACATTTAATAACGAGTTTCTTTAAAACGAGTTCTCTACGTGACCGTAGAGCGACAAAAACAGTTTGACCACTAGATGTTGATAGTTTTTTATATCTACTACGAGGAAGCTATTGGCCTGCATCTCACCCGATAGAATTGGAAATGCTGAAGGTTGAAGCGAGTTTCTCCCAGAATTTTCAACCGCAGAGGAACTGGCTATCGTACCTCCGACTGCCGGAATACACAATGCTGTTAACATGGTGGTAGCTAGCCAGGTGGACTTAGTACAAGCTCTACCAACAACCAAAGCTAACAGAAAAATCTTATCACACTGGATCAAATACGAGACCTATAGGTCTGAGGCCTAGTGGTGGTCCTCCTGGTGGTCTTACCACTAGACCACAGAGGCGGTTACATGTGCCGTTTCAATTTGGTACATTTTTTTAATTTCTTTTATGTAGGTACCTCTATCTGTTTTGTGTGGTGTACAATAAAGTATAATAATATTCTATCTATACATTAACTCAATACAAAAACACCCAAAAAAGTTCTCCAAATAACTGACCGATCTATTTTGGCTGTGGCATAACCAACTTAACCCGTCGTCGCCGTAACTTAACCCCAAGTTTTTGTGCTTAATCTTCGAGGGGTCTGGCAAATTAATCCTGCAAACTGATACCGCGGGGCTTCAGGACACCTAGTATGGTACCGTAGGTTTTAGAACGACGCGGGGTAAGTATTGTAGTATAAGCTTATAGGCAACTAGTGGGTTGAGCTAAAGTAAGCTACAAATGGCATGTTACTTGTTAAGAAAGTTTTTTCATCACTTACTTCCAAACATATTCCATTAACCGCCTCTGTGGTCTAGTGGTAAGACCACCTGCTTCAGACGCAGAGGTCCCGGTTCGATTCCCAATGGGGGCAGATTTTTCTGTTCGGCTTGGTTGGTGGTAGGGCTTATTCTAAGTCCGCCTGGCTAGCTTCCACCAGCTTACCTAAGTCTGTTGCCATAACAACAATGTTAACAGCATTATTGTGTTCCGGCAGTTAGAGGTAAGATAGCCAGTTCCTCCGTGGTTGAGGATTCCGGGTGAAGCTCGCTTCCACCTTCGACCTGATCGTCACTTACCATCAGGTGAGATACAGGCCAAGAGCTTCCTCGTTGTGGATAAAAAATAAATATGGATGAGTTCGGCCANAGACCGTGAAATTATTCAATGTTAATATTCAATGTTTAACTATGAGGATCTTTTAATCTTAACAGTACCTAATAACCTCCTCCTTTTTTGAAGTCGGTTAAAAATAAATTAGCAATAGTGACACAGTTAAAGGTAGGTACGTAGTGTTAGTTGTAGCAAAAAAATTGCATTGTTGTGTGCAAGCAATTTTTATAAACGGCTTCAATATTTTATTGTCTTATTAATAAAATAATGTGCAAGTTGATAAGAATGGATGGATATTAAGAACTACCGAACGAATTTTGATGAAACTTTATTTTTTTTATTACATTAAAACATCAATGCTTTAAATTAAAAGATTTTTGCGACAAATTGGGTGCAAAAGCTAGTTGGTATTTGCCCATTTGTAACATTTCGCCTAATTTGCCAAAACGGCAAACATGATCATACAAATCCGCTTAAGGCCACCGCAGACCGGATTAATCTGGTTTCGACTAGTACAAGCTCAGGAGCTGTAACGCAGACATATTAATACCCGGTCATATTCCGTACAATTGAAACTTAATGGAAAGCTAATTCGAACCGACAGTTTTGATGGGAAACGTATCGATACAATAGATTATCGATCGGTGATCAATGAGCAGGATTGTTTCGCTGCAAATATAGAATTAGTGGGTATTAGAGAGTACATTATAATGTATTTCTAGCTTAAGCCTACGGCTTTTTTTGCCTAATTCGTAAGCAAGACAAAATTAATAGATTCCGTGGTTATCCAATACATACTAAATATTTTTCGGGATTTAACGAAAATAAAAAAATGCGGAGAGATGCAACTTTGTGCATAGTTACACATTTAACAATTATTTTGTTTATAAAGTTTACCCCTATTATCTTAAACCCTAAAAGTAATAGGTGTTATATAATTTCAATACATAGTTACGGCACTGACATTTAGTAGTAATATTTTTGACGGTCAGTAAAAAAAATCACGCAAGCGTTTCACTTTGGTATACAAATCAGAAAGTATTGTATTGCATTTGGCTGAAACTGCATAATATCACTGGCTGTATTGCCAGCGTGCACTTTAAAATGGACACAAATAATCCCTTGTCAATAACCGTGCATAATTAATACGACTATCACGGTTAAGGCCGGGTAGCAGAGAAAATGGCGAAAATGAGGTTTTCATTTTTCATTTTTGAGGTACTAAACAGTAAAATTAAAGGCTAAGATTTTTATTGGGNGAAAGCGTGTTTAGGTAACTCAATCTATTAATACGTTCGTGAGCCTTTTCAGTCGGTGTAGGAATCAGATCAATATTTATGTCGCCCAAGATCACAATGTTTTTACGGTTTACAGAGCAATCCAGGTGAGCGTCAAGAGAGATAATGAAGTTCTCCGCATGAAGATGCGAAGGGGAACGGTAAATACCCAACAGTGTATAGTTGGAAACAATCATTTCAAGGCCCGTTGCATCGGAGAGGTTAAGTTCGGTTATCTTTGCATGATGGCTATTTTTAATGTATACCACAACTCCATCATTCTGGTTTAACAATTTGGTCGTATGAAATGAAGTATAGTTCGGTAGGTATGGGACAGGTTTTATCAAGTTCAGCCTACATTCGGTAAGAATCAAAATGTCTACTTCATAGGCCAGTTGTGATAATGTTATTTGCAAGTCATCAAAATTTTTGTAAATGCTCCTTAGATTTTGGGTAATAATCGTCAAAAAGTTATCTTTAGAGTGGTTATAAAAGTTCGGTAGGGATTCTATATTACATTCGATTGAGTTCGCAGCCTGTATTTGGTCTAATTCTTGTAAAACATTGTGGCTATCCATCATTGAGTAATATAATATTGATTGGTTAACAGGAGGTAACTATGTAGGTACGTGATTTTGTAGGTATAAGACTTAGCTAGTATAGTGTAACTATTGTATGAGAGAATGTAAGCATGTACATAAGATGTTAAGCCCTGTAGGCTTCGATCTGTATGTTTTACAGGCCAGCGTTTTACATTTAAGCACAGCAGTTTTATGTTATAGGTAAATATAAACTTTTCTAAGCAATTTGATAAGACAGTTTTAAATCGTAGTAAATATGTGTTAGCTTTAATAAGGTTAAGTTTTATGATACACATAGGTGTACATAAGTGGTTTAAACGTTGGTAGGTGAGTAAGAAGTGTAGGCATATTAGAATGTATTTTATGTATAAGTATTTTTTATGATAAGGTAAGAACATGGTTGAGGTTGTGTAGTGTATGTGGTGAACTTGTGTGTGTGTATAAATAAGTGTAGTTATTTTAAGTTATTATAATAATATGGTGGTGTGCGTGTGAGAGTGAGAATTGTTACATAAGTTGTGTCAGTTTGTAGCTGAGTTAACTTAATAGGAATACACATTTAGGACAATTAAACAATATAATAACAAGTTTTTAGCGAAGTTAGTAGTAGTAGTCGGTAATAATTATACAGGGAACCATGGCTCACTTAAGTTACAATTAGCGGTCTTGAAGTAGGTCGTGAATTTGGGCCTCATTTTGAATGTGAATTATTTTGGAGTTGTCGTCCTTTCTCACGAAGATCTTACCAAATTAATGATGTCCAACAGTATTTAAACTTATTAGATTTTACCAGATCTCGTGACAAAAAGTGTAGTCGGGCACCCTTAGCTGTTAATACTTCTGATATAAACACCGGTGAGTCTTCATTTTTGGTGAGTCCCAGGTGTTTAGCCTGCAGTTTATTCTTGTTTTTGTAGTTGAATTCCTTGGTTTTTTTGAGTAAATCTGTTTTTATTAATGTAGATGACAGTTCCACAACAATAGGGGGATTTTTCTCTGACTGATTCCTTGGTTTTAGTCTAAAGATGTCTTTAATATCCCTTGTATTTATGTCCACATTCACAGTCTTAGCCAGGTTTGAAACCATGTTTATTAATTCCTTGTGACTTTCGCCTTGGTTTCGCGGTACGTTTTTTAGTTCAATACTTGACTTACGGGTGTATCTCTGGAGGTCTTCTATTTTGTTTTCTAATAAGCAAATATATTCCTTATCCTTTTTAGTCTGCTGCTCCAAAGTCTCGATTTTCTTGCGGAATTCTTCATTCTGAGAGGCCAGTAAGGACATAGAGGTTTCGATGTTAGAGTTGGTCTGCTTAATATCTTTTAAGCTATCCGTTATTTTCGAAATATCCTTGTTTTGTGCTCCTATGAGTGTGGTAATTAACTCCCTCATTTCTTCTTTAAAACGGGAGAACTCCGATGGCGATGTTTCCGTCTCTCTGGGCCTTTTGTTGCGTAGTGAAACATAATTCGGCGGCGTGAGTTGGTCGTCACGTTGACCACTTACTCCTGGCAAGTGCTGGAGATCCATTTCATCACCTTCCAGAGTTTGGCGATTACTAGTCGAATCAGACGGGATGTTTTTAGGCGGTGTTCGTTGTAAAGACATGATACGATGTTGCGAGTAGGCCTAAATGAATCGTTTGCGGGCCGACGGGAACTGCGCGCTCGTGATGGGCGGGCCAAGCTGCGCGGGCGACACAGGGGAAATCAGGAAATCAGATTCATGGATACTTGTAAATAAAGCGTTATTAATCTAAGCCTGGATCAGAAAGTAAGTGCTAGTTTAAACAAAAGAAATACGCGCCCCAATTCTTCATTTAATTTTCCTATTAGTTTCAAGATATATTTTTATTTCTACACTCCATTCAAGTTTCAAACATCTGGTTAGTCAAAATTCCCGCATTGGTTCCCGCATTCCGCATCACCATTCACCTAGAGATCTCGACTCGACAAAAACAAGCGTATTAATTTGTGCAGTTAATTATACGCAACAATCAGTGAACTGCCAGTGGTTATTGTGATGCAAATCCCTTTGTGCCGGTTAATTTGCAGTAAATACCCGATATATTTCCCGATTAAGTTAATGGAACAAATTGTTAAGTTCCAACTAGGGATGTAACGATTCGTTCTGCCGATACGATACTGATACCGATTATTGTAGTAAGTAATACCGATACCGATTTCAATATAAATAAAGCTTAGATAAAGTGTATGTAACATGCAAAGTTACCATTATTTAACGAAGAATCGATTTTCTGGATTGTGAAAACTGAAAAATATACTAAATAAACACCAAAATTAACAAAATTTTATTCAGGTAGGTACATGAAATATATTCTCTATCAAAGAGGTGATTAAATCATTACACGAAACGGAGTGGCACAGTGGCCGCGCGCCTTTCGTTCATTTGGGCGATTTTCGAATTGTTTGATATTAAACATCCCTAGTGCCAACGTTGTCGGTAGATGGCTCTGTTGTACGGTAATTTTGCGAATGTTTCGCTTCTGTTCTTGGGCCGTTATTTGCCGAGTCCCGATATTTTGTTAAGCTCTTTCGCTTTCGGGTATTTTCGAAGTTCATTATCAACTGAATAACATTGAAAACTTAAGTTAATGAAACAGGTTTATTTTAAAATGTAATGCTCTTAACATTTATAGGGATTGAGTATTTGTACTTGTATTTATGGTGATAGATGTACTATAGGAATAAAGTGCAACCTGCTACCTACCGGGAATCTTATGGTAGAATCGATCCTGTGTATTCTGATATCTCGCTGAAAATGCCAATCCATTGAAGCATCAAAGAAAGACGGGACGTGATGTCGATAGCAGAGAGAGTCTTATTAACCCTTAACCAGTATTTGGAGAAAAATATTTTCATTGGTTTTCCACCGTATCTTCCAAGCATAAATTTAAAATTAACGTGTGGTCTACCTATTTAACCTTTACCAAGTTAAGGGTTAAGAAACGAGTCGTAAAAACTGTTTACAACATGTAAATGTTTTGATCGGAAGATAGAAACTTTTTTCACAGCTGCCTAATTTCGCCGCACTTTTCATGAAATCACAAGTGTTTTTTGCAAAAATATCAAATGACATATCGATAGGAAAATACATTGGAGCGTGAACCATATATCTTGGCTCGGGGATACCTGTCGCCGTTGTTTACAAAGTGGGTCACGTAAACAAACACGTATTTTGCCTAAGCGTTCAACTTACACCACTTCTAACTAAACTTATGATGGCCGAGCTATGAATATTTCAGCTAAGCTAAAATTTTGATAACTACCTAGTCGGAATTGTGAAAACAGCTTTCGAAAACATAACACACAGGCCTATGACTTGCCGCCGTACATACTAATTTTTAACCCCTAGCACACCATTTCAATTGTTGTGTAATATTCTCAGTCGATTCTTTCATTTTTGGTTTCATTATTTTTTGGCATGATGATTTTTGTGTTTTATGATTTTTTTTCTGTCTTCCTGACCTTGATTATTCAACAATAATACTGTCAGGAGCAACTTCAATCAAAATGTATCGTTGCTTTGATTCCCTTTCCGAACCAATTCATATCGGAATCGGCACAAAGGTAAATCGCGTAGCTTTTTGAGTTGACAAGCTACGTGATGTTGTACCATTTTGAGCTCTATGTTGTTTGTTGTAAGGCTGTGTTATGCGTGAAGTACGCAACGGGCGCATTCGGCCTCCGATTGTTGTGGCCGGATGCTGTGACCATTTCCGCCTACCACCATTCAGCCGAACGCAGGAATGAGGCGTTTCGTCCCGGAATACTATTGTACGTCTGTAATTACAGAACCTTTAAATTTTCATTATTCATCATCCCTCCTAACGAGCTATAAACTCGCTAAGTGTCTTTGCTGTTAACGAATTAAAATACCCTTTAAATTCATTGGCAATCGAAGTAAAATGTTGATTAATATTTTAACATCTCATTCCGTCCACTTAGTGAATAAATGGTTTGTGAGTTTCTTGAAAGGAATAATTTGGAAGTACTTAGCTTTAATAATTGAAAATATTGAGATTAGAATTTCTTTTATAGCACACGTAAAATTCTTAATCTTGAAAAATGAGCTGATGATTATTCTATTATAGAACCTATTCCCAGTGGAGTAAAAGAGCTTTTACGAAAAGACTGCCAATAGCAAATCTAGCGTGGAAAGCTCCGTTAGTCAGTGGACCGAAGCAGCGATCGTTGACTGAGGTAGAATTGATTGAAATCCTCCATTACTCTCATGGCAAAATGAAAATATATAAAAGGACGTCAAGGATTCTGGCCTCAAAAATGATTTTCGGCTAGACCTAAATGATTTACAATAAATAGTTTTTTCGTAAAATCTTTTCAAATTATTATTTTAACCAGTCCTGGGTTGGCCACGACAATTCTTTTTGCCACCGACGACAGTAGGTATGGAAATCATCTAATGCACTTTTCGCGTTCGCCATTTCAAAGAGAAGATTTGTAGAAAAAGTTTACAAAATAAGGGGATTGGACTGGCCAGGGGACAAACAAAGAGTCCCTCTAAACGAATATTTCGTTTCGGAGGTGTCTGTGTCAATGTGATTTCCTTAAGCCGAACCTGTTTGATGGCCTTAACTCGCAACAAAACGAATTTCAGAGCTAAAATAAACAGCGCTGAAAGATTTTGTTAGGGATATTATATTAAGTCCGCTACAGAGCAATAAACACAGTGGTTGGTAGTAACATAATAAATATATTGGTATCAAAGCACACGTAGAATATTTACAATAGAGAGTTCGACACAGCCATTACACAACTCAAGACAACATCACATTTGAATANTGTGGGTGCGGCTGACCTTTAGCCACGGCCTATGATTGATTAGTGGGCGGGGCTTAGGCAGTCGAATTGTTTCGGGCCCGGCGCAGGAGCAGCTAGCTGTCTTCGTCGTTTACTTCAGAGATCTCACTCACACATAGGGTTGCCAACTTTTTCTACTAGAAATAAAGTATAATTATTCTGGTCTATGAAGAATATAAAACAGGACAGTATATAAAAATGAACAGTATTTAATTTATTTATTGTTTAAAATGCATATCGTTCTAACTAAATGCAAACAGTATTTTGTATACTTTATTTTTGTTCAACAGTAAAAAGTATAATTTAGTCAAAAACAGTATCATGATACTGTTCAGAACAGTATAGTTGGCAACCCTACTCACACACAGCACTCCACCGCTTTGCAGTTATCACATCCTAGTACTTCGCTCCGAACTTCTTACTATTTTATTTTATATTTGTACCAAAATTTGGGACACAGAGACAGTGCAAACACGTCCGACACTGTCGGCATCCGAGAGGGAAGAGGACTACTAATAATATTATATTCAAGTTAATAATTTCTACGGCACAAACTTCTATCACGTATTCAATTGACATGTCCATTATATCGCGTCGCTCCGTGTATTCCAAGTCGTCGCGCAGTAGGATGCACACGCCGCCGCCCTCGTAGTTGACGCGGCAGTATGAGGCGGCTAGGTTATATCCACTAACGTTCAATATATCATTTTTTTCCTTAGACAGCCAGGTTTCGGACACGCAGATTGATTGAAATCTATTTGGACTTTCTTCTATGAGTGTTTCCAAAAGAGTGGTCTTATTAGATAAACTTTGCATATTCTGGAAAAGTATTGTAAACGTGTTGCTAGTGTTTTCGAAAGTTATGAAAGTTAGGTGGTGTTCTCAGTGTATTTGTGTCGTCCAGTGCGCTTTCAGAGTACCGTTGCGTGGATTTATTTGCAGTAACGTTCATGTTTGATACGGCTTCTGGTACTACTGCCTTCCCGTTTACAATTAAAGTATTGTTTCGTATGACTGCGTGGTGTCCGCTTTGCCGAGCTGATTTTAGACCATCTCGTAGCTTTTTTCTACACTTTTGAGCCTTTTCGTCTAGATATTCAGATATAGCTAATCCAGTGTTTCTGAAGTGTCTAGCATTCTGAAGTAGATACTTTGTCATTTTTTTGCTAATGAGCTCAATAACTATAGGTCGCTGGTATCGAGGGTTGGTTTTACCTATTCTTTTCAGGTCCTCTACGTAGCCTAGGAGATCAACATTTAGTATGTCCCGAAAGAGATGAATAATCCGGTCGTGTAGGTCATTTTCAGTTTCACGGTTGTATTCCTTTAAGCCATAAAGAACAATTGTTTTGTCCTGGTAAGTTATTTTTTCCAGATAATTATTTTTTTCAAAGTCTTGTATTTGATTTTTTAACATTTCATTCTCGGATTCCAATTTCAGTATTCTTTGTTCTACTTCCTGTATATTTGACTTAATGCTATCCTGTTCTATTTTTAGAGTATCTGTATTTTTTGTCAGTTCTTGTCTTAGCTTGGATACGGCTTTATTTATTTCACTCTGGATTGTATTTTTTAATCCCAATAACATGGATTTATTATTGTTTTCGAATTTTTGATCTAGGAGTTTACTTAGGTCTTCAAGAGAAATATTTGATGGTTGGGTATCTTGTGGAGCATAGTTGTTTGATACACTTGCTGAACTTTTTTTCCTTAGACAGCCAGGTTTCGGACACGCAGATTGATTGAAATCTATTTGGACTTTCTTCT